GAGATTTTTCAAATAGGGAGCATAATAGTTATTTTTCGTTAGTAAGAGAAACTAAACGTATGCTAAAATACACAAAAATATATTTTGACGAAAGTGTTTTTGCCCAGTCTCTATACTAAGTACGAATCAAATATTTCACTAAGAAAAAAAGTATGGTCAAAAATACCAGAAGAGAGTAAAATTCTATGGTTCTATGCCAGCACTAAAAAGTTTGGAATTCCTTACTGAAGTACTTTGGCAATGATTTTGATAAAATGAACAGTGAAAAACAATTTTATAATATGTAATAAAATTTTGTAAATGTGGTAAAATTTTGTAATTGTATTTTCATACTTTAAAGCATAACATAAAAATCATTTGTAAAAATCGTTTAAAATCATCATAAAAATCGTTTAAATTTACTTTTCAATTTTGTATTTACTAAATGTACGATAATAATGTATAATTTTGAAAAACAGCCTTACCGGAAATAGTTACTATATGAATGGAAAAATTAACCGAAAGTTTTAAGCACCACATATTTTAATTTTACTAACCAATTGCTGTTACCCGAAATTTCATTATCACACTGTACGGTAAGTTTGCCAGAATTGTTTCTCGTTGTACTATAAATAAACTGGTGTTTCATCGCCTGAAACATTCGTTGTCCAACATTGGGGCAGAAAAAATATGGTCGATTTTCTGTCAAAATATGAATGAATTTATAACTTTGACTAACAAAAATACTATAAAAACTATTTCACGTTAGACCAATATAGAAGCTTTGTATAGCGAGTAAGAAAAGATTTCTATAGATGTAGTGCTTGCTCACACTAATTTGAAGAAAATTTTAAAGCTTTTCAAAACGAATAATCAATCCGATCCAGCTTCTAGAATGAAATTTTCCAAAATGTTTTTTTTTCTGCGAATAAATTTATAATATATTTAATTTACGACTTAGAATTGTCTTATTTTAAAGTGTCCGCAAATTTATAAGACAACCTGCATTGTTAAAATTTTATTGTTAAACATTGAACAAATATCATTTTAATTTAAGAAAATAATTATTCATTTTTTTCATTCACAATACAATGTATTTTTTATTAAACTGCACTTTAATTTTTTTTAATATATGCTCAATAAACAGCTTTATATACAGTGAAATGAAATGACGAGTTATGAAATTGTAAATTAAAAATGCAATGCTCCATCTTAAAAGCATACACATTTGTAATTCTATCGCAGTTTCCAAGGAATAGATAATAGACGCGAAATATATCTTAACTACTTATTAACGTATAGTAAGAGTAATAGATTTTTATTTCATATACGAACGCAATCTCAATGATTGCAGGAATAAAATATTTTAGTTTCCCAACTCTCTCTAGTTCAATATTCATATATCTATATCATTTCCCCATAAACAATCTTTCACAACATAAGCTCGAATATAATTATTTGAGAACAGAAGAGATAGGTAAATAATCGTTGTCAATGAAATAATAATTTTCTAGGCTTTCCATTACAATAATGTTTATGCTTTGGGAATCTAGCTCAGTGAATTTCGTTATAAAGGAGGATCTATAAACTCAAATGTTAGTGTGAAATTTTAATAAATTTTAATTATTATTTCAAAATTAGCTTAATTGAATGACGACTTTATGCAGACTTAGTTAAAATTTACATATTTTTAGACAGATTATATTGTAACGTAAGAAAAGCAAAAAAAAAATTAAATATTGTATAAAAAATACAAGCAAATTGATGAATATCTAGAGTAGAAAAACAATAATCCAGTAATGTGCGGTTTTATAAAAGAGTGCGGTCTTGAAAGTCTGATCTTATTTAAATTAAAACTATTCGTATAAACAAGATTAGGTTTTACTCTATTTTAGAGCCAAATAAGAATATTTTTCTTAGTTTTTTTTATTACCGAAAAATGATGTCAATGATATAATATTTTTCTAGATTTTCAAGTACAGTAATGTTTATGGTTTGGGAATTTAGTTCAGTGAATTTCGTTATAAATGAAGATCTATAAACTCAAATGTTAGTGTGAAATTTTAATAAATTTTAATTATTATTTCAAAATTAGCTTAATTGAATGACAACTTTATGTAGACTTAGTTAAAATTTACATATTTTTTGACAGATTTATATTGAAACGTAAGAAAAACAAAAAAAAAAACTAAATATTGTATATAAAAATACAAGCAAATTGATGAATATCTAGAGTAGAAAAACAAAAATTCAATAATGTGCGGTTTTATTAAAAAGTGTTATAATGTGTACTCTTGAAAGTCTAATCTTATTTAAATGAAATTCGTATAAACAAGATTAGGTTTTACTCTATTTCAGAGCCAAATAGGAATATTTTTCTTAGTCTTTTTTTATTACCGAAAAATGATGTCAATGATATTATATTTTTCTAGATTTTATGGTTTATGGTTTGGGAATTTAGTTCAGTGAATTTCGATATAAATGAGGGTCTGTGAACTTAAATGTTATTGTGAAATTTGAATAAATTATATTCATTTTTTCAAAATTAGATGAATTGAATGGTGAATTTATACAGGCTTAATTAAAATACACATAATTTTAGACTAATTTGCGTAGTGAAACAGTGTTTAGACTTCGACACATTAGTATATTATTCAAAAACACTAAATATTGGATGTAGAAATGTGATACTACAGGGCAATGAATAATTTAGCGGAAAAATAAGGAAAGTTCAAACATGAATAGAAGAAAATTTTTCTTATTTCAATGGAAACTATTCGTAAAGACAAAACTAGCAAAGCTAGTTTTACTAGCTTTTTTAACAAAACTTTTGCTCTATGTCAGAGCCTAATAAGAATATTTTTCTTTTTTTATTTAATACCTAAACACTTTAATATACTCTCTCTAGAAATTCAAAACACAAATAGTTTAAAGTTTTTCAAACAGCTTTTGAAAAATTAATTTTTTTTGTAAATAATGTAGGGGAGTTATAGTTATTTATACGTTCGCTAACTTTTTTCCTTATAAGTATACTCAAAATTAAGTCCAGTTTTTTAGACTGAAAGTTTGAACTTTTAAAAACCTGGCACTTCTGATTATCATTCTAAATTTTATACTTGTTTTTGGCTGTTTTTGTGTATTTTTTCTCTACTAGTTTTTTTGTAAGTAAGTATTTGATTATGTAGTCTCTGACAGGAGCTTAGAGACTTAAAACTCACTCATTTACTTTATTTGAGCTGCAGTTGCTTGTTTTAATTTTTTAAAACAAAATAGTTTCTTTTAAAAATGTTTCCATTTTATTACCGCTCTGAATTTTATTCTGTTTAATAAAAAAAATGTAAGTTCTATTTGCGGTAGTTTTTTTCTTCATAAATTAAATTCAGTTGGTTATTTTGGTTATACGTTTAGTTTTTTAAAGTTGTTTTCCTTAAAAAATGTGCTTAATAAAGTAAGTGCGCTTTTTGAAATTTTTGTATATGTAGTTTCCCCTATTCATAATGTTGAAGTAAAGAAAATACATTTTCAAGTATAGAGCTATAGTAATCATACAAAAAAGTATATAAAATTAGACCTGTCAAATTGCTAAACTAAAATTGCTTCTGGTGGAAACCAAGTCAATGTTTTAATGTATGATTCTTCTTTCTGTAAATTTGATTTAAAGTTATTTTTCATGTCTCTACCTGAAAAGGATTCATAAGTTCATATGAAACATCACACTGTTCCGTTCGTCGTGACGAGGAATTTAAAACTCAAAATTTTCAATAGCACTGAAAGCTTCAGTTTTTAATTGTGTACCACTCCGTAGAATATTTTGCTATAAGCACAGTTGTTGGCTGTTCAGCAAAATTTTAAAAATATTAATTGTTTGGTAGAATTAAGGCAAATTAGTGCACTAAAAATCAGTTTTTTTTAAAAAAACTGAAACGTATTTGCAATGAAGCCATAAATTGATTCTAATACTTATAAAAATATGTGTTTTCAATAAACAAACCAAAAATCGATTAATAAATAAAAAACGAAGAATTTGACTGCATACACTATAAAAAGTTATTATTGGTATCATAGCGACAATCCTAAACAAAACAGTAAAATATATATATTGCTTTCATACTGTTGATGTCTTAAGTATATAACAACATCGAGTATTTTATTTATTACAAGGAGTATAAATAAATCAGAACTTTAGGATGTATGATGGTTAGTGTTAAAGGGGGCTTTTTAAATTTTACAAAAGAAATTAGAACTTAGAAGAAATTAAATTTTGCAAAGAATAGTCTCAATCAGGACCTAATTCAAAAGAAATATCATCTAAGACACTTTTTGTGTCAGTAAAAATTATATTTTATCCATAGAAACAGCGAATAAATATTCATTCCTATTAAAATGGGCTTAAAATTGCTAAGTTATATATATCACAGATTCCCTGATACTTTAAAATTTCTATAATGTCTAACCCTATCAAAATTTATTCCAATTTAACAACATAAAAGAAAAAACACTCATATATCAGTCAATTGATATGCGCAGCTTAACAATGTAAAGTATAGATATAATTTGATAATAGAACAAAATTTATTGCTTTCAGATTTTAATATTGGAAACATAACTTTTCTTTCCAGTGCTTTTCGTTTGACAGTTAAGATGAAATAGACAACGTATACTATGCGAGTAGAGCATAAAAAAAAATTCATAGATCTCTTAATCTTGTTAGATATTCCAAAATTTGTTTGCTCATGTTTTATAGGTCTTTTATTAATATTTTCATTGGAAAAAAAACATTTTTATTCATTAATAAACATTAATTTGATTCTTTTGGAAATGAAAAGATTTGAAAAAAATAAAAAATTATTAAATATTGCTGTCTTTATTTATACATGCATATTTAATATCAATTTATTGAATCTATTTACTCATATATTTTAGCATTTTGATAAAACTGCAGAAATTTAAACAATACGACTTTTTTACAGCATCACAATTGCATTGATAAAATAGTTAAAATATGAATGATTTTTTTTTACCTTTCTCATGAAAAAGGACTTCATGCTCTTCGCCTTCTTTTTTCCCGAAACTGTTTCTCTATAGACATTTTGAGCATTTGAGTAGCATTTCGAACATTTCCTTGCGTAGGCTTTGCACTAGATAGAAAGGGATTTTGCACCATGGGAGGGTCTTTGATGTGCTGCTTTTTTATTCATCCGTAGATAAATGGAACAGACTGAAATATAAAGCAAAAGCTTTCGTCAGGCAATAAATTTTTATAATAAGTATTTTTTATAATAAGTCATAGTTAAAAAGTGAGACTTATTTAAATATCTATCTCCAATTAATTACAAACTACAAATACTCTTTAGCTTTCATTAAGGGTAATAAATATTCATTTGATATTATTGGTTATCGATAATTTCATATGCTAAATCAAATAAATTGAATACGTGATTTGTCGAAACAAGATATTTAGCATGATTTTTAAAATTATTAACAGCTCTCCTCTAAATAGATATCATTTTTGCTTTCATTTCGCCCCTTAATTTACTTTTGTAATAGTCAGTCTAATACGTGTTCAGAAAACCTCTGGGGGTACTGGATTGGAGATCGATCATTCTCTGATTCAGGTCAATATTACGATCTGTGGATGAATGAATGGATGTATGAATGGGTTCGCCCTATAAACTACGTATGGTGTGGGAGAAGTCGAATTCTTGGCCATAGATGGCGCCACTGAAAAACAAGAAACGCACACTCTGCCTTAAATTTGTTCGGTTTCACCAAGAAGGCTTGCTCGTGCTGCAAGTGGCATTAGAAACAACAACATATGTGTTCAGTGGTTGGAAGTAGCGCATTACAAGTAAGGAAAATAATGTAGTTGCTACTTTTTTCCGTAGTTTGAAGTGTAGTGTGCTACTTTTTTAAAAAATTGCGTAGTACGTAGCGCTATACAAAAAGTCAGTAGTTTGTCACGATTCCTGGCAAGTATTTTTAACGTTAGTTTAGAAACGCAACTAACATTTCGCTAACGCAACTAACTTTTCGAATTCAATGGGCGCAAATTATTGCTAGTCAGTGCATGGATGCAATAAAATGACCCTGTGGCTGCAGGTGAGGTTCAACAGAAATTATGTATTTAAAATCACTTATAAAAAAACTAATATTTAAACTAGTCATTACGAAAAACAGATAACTAATCACGTTGAATCGCGATGGCTCAGGGGATAGAGCGTTCGCCTTCCAATGAGGCGAACCGGGTTCGAATCCCAGTCGATACGAATTCTGCATCCGGCTTGCACTGACCACAGTGCTGACGTGAAATATCCTCAGTGCTAGACGGATCATGGGTTAGAGTCTCCTTGCCGTCAGGCTAACCGTGGGAGGTTCTCGTGCTTTTCCTCTCCATGTAACGCAAATGCGGGTTAGCTCCATCAAAAAGTCCTCTCGAAGGCAAATTTCTCCCAATACTCGATCCAGTAGTTCCCTTCTCTCCTGTATTGGGTTCAAAATTACAAGGCTACGGAGTTGAACATTAGTAGTCGTAAACCCATAAAATTGGGTCGGTTGTTTAACGACGGTTATAAAGTAAAAATAAAATTAATCACTTTGGTCACACTTTCACACGCGAATGCACACTCATGAAAAAATGATATTATTTCAAGAAATGGAACGTATTTTCTATGTACTAAATTTCTTGGTGGAGATAAAATAGCATTAATTAACTAAAAAATTGCAATTATTTGATAATTTCGCATTCTTAAATTAAACATTAGCTGTTGAAAAAGGCATAATATGTTGAACGTTAAATGAACAAATTAAAATTTTTTTTTGGAGTAAGATACTGGCTCATGTAAACACGAATAAATATTTCTTAATTATTCCCTCATATTCAATGTACGCCAATTTCTTATTCAAAACTATTTTGAATATAGGTGTAAAATAAGTTCTCCAGCAAAATTCGTCTCCTTAAAATAGTGAAGTAGTTACTACAATTCCAAAGTAATTTGTCGTCACTACATTTAAAAAGTCGTAATTAACTACATTTGTAACAGAATAGTTGTAGTAAATTACAAAAATAATGCTTTTCTGATCACTTTATGTGCTATATTGCATATTCAATTGATGAGATTTTACGAAATTAGTCATTTGATATACAAAGTTGTTATCGAGAACTTTATATATTAATATAAATTACTTGAATATTAAATGGGATACTTGTAACCAGAGTTAGAACATAACAGAATATAACAGCCAGGCATCAATGCTACTCAAATATTTTTTCTTAGTAGCCATAACTATTCAGTTATTTTAAACGTATAATTTTAGTCACAATATTTATATTTTCCTTATTATAGTAGCAAAAAGCACTTTTTTTAAATAAGAATATTCTGAAAGTGCATACATAAATAAAAGCCTAAACTTACATTAAAAAATTTATATATACCTAAAATCTAAATCAGAACTGGATGTCCAAAAAAATAAAATTTAAAGAAAAAATTTCAAAATTACAAAATTTCAAAAATTTCTCCAAATTTAAGGAAGCTGATTTTAAGTAATTTACTCTCTCCATATATGTACAAAAATATATATATATATATAACATAATTGCAAGCAAGTTTAGTCAATAAAAATGAAATATTTACGTAATATAAAACATATCAGTAGTTTCAACTTGAAAAATGAAACAACTAAATTAAATTCTATTATTTATTTGATAAAAGTAATAGCTTGATAAATAAAATGCATAGTTAAAATATGATAAACCATCTCTTTCTAAATATATTTATTACTTCAAAAATCAAATTAAAACATAGAAACTTGGATAAATTATATTAATTATTTCTATTTTAGTTACATCACAGCGAATAGTTATAAGGTTTTGAAATTAGTAATTATACTTTCATTTGCAGATTAAAGTATCATTTGGGGAACTTTTATATCCTTCCATTTTTTGAAACGCTTAGTTTTAATCTTTCATTATCCTTTCCTAGTAAATAACTGTTGCCATTTTCTCCTCCAATTGAACTATTTACAGTCTTAGTCAGTTTCGTTAAGTTTGCCTTCCCTTCATCATCTTTAAATAGTACGAATACGAATCGTGAAGTGCGAATTTTAAAACTCGTGAATACTAATTGCTATGTGTGATTTTTAATTACGTGAATATGATTCACGATATGTGATTTTTTAATCGCTGGAACAGGAATTGTGATGTTGAAATTTGAAAACACGTGAACACGAATTGCCATGCGTGATTTTTTTAATTGCGTGAATATGAGTCGCGATATGTGATTTTTTAATCGCTAGAACATGAATTTCCATATGCGATTTTTTAATTGCGTGAATATGAGTCACGGTAGGAGATTTTTTAATCGCGTGAACACGAATCGTGGAGTGTGATTTTTAAATAGCACGAATCTGAATGGCGAAGACTGAATTTAAAACGTGTGTCTACGATTAGCGTTGTGACTCTACTCTATACGAAACAAATGAAAAATACAGATTTCAAGGTCAAAAGTATAGAGGAGCAATGCGGAGACATAAACTTGCGTCGTCAACCCCATAACTAGGAGTTAAATTTAAAATTTCCGGTGCAAATTACGACTTGCTATCGCTAATTTCGAGCTCTGCTTGCAACATTGTATTTTTGAAATAAATACAGAACTCTGTCTCATTTAAAAGTTTCTAAAGAAAAGAAAATCGCAACTAATTTGAAAGCAATTCAACAGCACAGCTGTTAGAAGTTAATTAGGTTTGCATTGAATTCGTTTTTTACAGTGTAGTTGCTATTTTTAAATGAAACTAAAATATTCTTTTAGAATGCAAGATAGGGTGGTGTTGTATATATCACATAATCCGAAAGCATAGAAAATATAATTTAAGGCTTTTCTCCTTTTCTAAAGCTAAAATTTAGAGTAAACTAATTTATATTTTCATTTTAGGTTTTGTTTTTAACATTAAATTTTTATGTAAATAATATGCTGAAAAGATAGGACATTAAATATCCTCGGCTCTGTTTTTACCTGCAGGCAACAATGTTTTCTTTTCATGCGACCATTAAAATCTTATTCCAGACTTTTCTATATCAAAGTGCGTTTCTATTTCAATAGGATAAGGTGTTTCCCGTGTTTTAAATCTGGGTAAAATGGATATATGTGTTTCATGGTATAAAGTATCATAAAAGCTTAGATTATCCCCTAAGAGAAGATTTTAAATTGTCCTTTAAAACTCGCTTTTAAAAGCTTTTTACTTCATGCTGCTTGTGAAATCCTTTCTTAATGTGAGACTTTTGTTGCATGATATACTTCTACTACTTTATATTGGAAATATGCAATAAGTATATTGGTGTGCTTTACTTTTATAGAAATGTTCGTGAGAAAGCGAATAAGTTGATTCTGATTTGTTTACCATGATAAAAAATAAAGCAACATTCATTTTTATTTTGGTGAACAAAATACTATAAAATAAGAAATAGTTTTGATTGCAGCTTTTTTTAAAGTTCTTACTTTTTTTGATACTAGTTTACGAATTATAAAAAATCGGATCTAAGTTTTGCAAAAATAAATGATCGTTAACTGTCTGGTATTTACACTTGCGATCATCCTATAAAATATTGGTGAGAATATTCAAAGTTATGATTCAAGAAGAAAACTTGCAAGATTATCAAAGTCATGATTCAAGGACTATACTTGTAAGATTATTCGAAGTAAGGATTTTGGGACAATAATAGCAAGATAATACGAAGTCATAATTCAAGGACAAAAGTAGAGAGATTATACAAAATCATGATTTAAGGAGAGTATCTTGTCGTGCCAATACGGAGTCATGATTCAACTTGCAAAAATATTCAAAGCCGTGTGTTTAGGGCAATACTAGAGCTTTTTCGAAGTCATGATTGACGGAAAATACTAGCAAGATTATTCGAAGTGAAGATTCATGGACAATACTAGCAATATTATTCAAAGTAAAGATTCACGGACAATACTAGCAAGATTATTCGAAGTGAAGATTCATGGACAATACTAGCAAGATTATTTGAAGCGAAAATTCTAGGACAATACTAGAGAGATTATGCGAAGTCAAAATTCAAGGACAATACTGGTGGAAACGTGCATGTAATGCTTAACACAATTTAGATTGTGAAAACAAATGGTATTATCCGGTTTCTGCATGACGCTTTCGGATGCCATTGAAAGAATTTTGTTAAATTTGTTCACTTTCCTCATATAACTT